TAGGTTGGAGGCCTTTGCTATTGGGTTGGAGGCCATTGCTAGTAGGTGAAGTCCACCTCTTACACCAATCCCAACCGTCGAAACTCTCTGTTCTAAGTTCTAAGTGTTGGTGTGTCGGATGGCTTCGGGCGCTCGTTGGACTCTGCTCACACGTACAACGTACATTCATTCAATGTACACACACACACCCTCCAGTGTGTCAGGTTACCATGCAAGATAGATAGGTAGATAGATAGATAGACAGTTAGATAGGTAGGTAGGTAGATAGATAGATAGATGCCCAAGATGATCTCTGCGCTTTCGACAAAGTTGTCTCAGCATGCTTTTTGATTCTTCCCAAAGAAGCGAAAGGAAGACTTTCTTTGTTCCTAGTAGTAACAAGTGCATCGCTAATAGTAACAAGTGCCTTACTAGTAGTAACAAGAAGCTAGTAGAAACAATAAGCTAATAGCTTCTTGTTCCTAGTAGTAAGGCCAGGAGCCCCTAGTAGCGTCCTTGCTCGTAGTACGTAGCGATGCCAGGAGCCCCTAGTTGCGGGTCGGACCTTTTCGGGCGGTAAGACCTTTCGTCCTCTTCGGCCAAATGGCTGACCAAGGTCTGCACACCGTAGTTCCGCGCCACACGCTCCACCTCCGGCCAAATGGCTGCCGCGTGCCAAGGGCTCATCGCCGCCTGGTGATGGATGTCTGGCTCGTTGAATCCTCAGATGTCTGGGGGAGTCTTTGTTTGAAAAAAGATATTAGACTTAATATATCTTTCTTCAAAAAAGATTCAAGGAAACATCATCAATATGAAAGGATCAATCCACGAACATCCACATGATCAAGCATACTTAATGAGTCAATTCTGAGCGAAATAGTTTTGGGGATTAGATTGAGGGAATTGAGCAGTTGAAGGCTCAGGCCACAGGCATATTCGTCAATTCTGTCCGAGGCGCCCAAGAGGGCGCGGAACTGCTGTCCACCAGCGCCGCGGGGGAAGTGATGGTCGTGTACCATGGGCATGAAATCCTGGAACCGACAGAACCGAGGAGGAAAAAGATTATTAAAAAAATGAGGAAGAAATAATGCTGTATTTTGTTCCCCAGAGGGGGTGAGCTATGGGGGTTCTTACTTCAGGTATAGGAAGAGCTGCATGTGCGCTTTCGAGCCTGGGTGCGGGTGCCACTGCAGGGTGCCGCTGCGTTGTGCATTTTGTTTTAGAAGCTCCCCCTCCTCCATACTTAATTAAGTAGGCGCCTACTACATTAAGTAAGGGAGGTAGGTCGCTAGTACAAGTATTAGCTAGGTAGCTAGTGAGGACGCAGGATAGCTCACGCTTCTTCCAGGAGCCTCCCCCCGCCGCCTTTAGGGCGGTGGGGGAAGCTTCCTTGAAGAAGCGCTCGCACTAATGATTTGGTTTCCAGATTTTTAGGGACACTTGAGTTCTTGTTGACTTGTGGGCAAGTGGAAAAACATTCAATCAAAAAAAACCACGTGCGAGACAGAAAGAAATGGATTGCAAATGGTTGAGCTTAGACCTTTAAGCGTTCCATTCTTTTTCTGCATCTACGTTCTTTCCATGGCCCATGCTTCTGAAAGGAACCCTTCACAAAGTTCATGGATATCGTTGACATGCTCACATACCCCATTCTTGGCATGGATGCGCTGGTGACGGCACTGCTACAATGAAACTTGTTCGGTCTTTGTGGCTTCGCCCCTAGTAGCGTTCTTGTTCCTAGTAGTAACAAGTGCATCGCTAATAGTAACAAGTGCCTTACTAGTAGTAACAAGAAGCTAGTAGAAACAATAAGCTAATAGCTTCTTGTTCCTAGTAGTAAGGCCAGGTGCCCCTAGTAGCGTCCTTGCTCCTAGTAGCGATGCCAGGAGCCCCTAGTAGCTTCTTGTTCCTAGTGGCTTCCCCAAGTTCCATACACAATCACCATGCCCTTAGTAGCGTCCTTGCTCCTAGAATCCATCACAATGCACACAATGCTTCGCTACTAGGGTGGAGGCTGCATGACAATGCACACAATGCTGAAAACGGCTCTTCCCATGTGTTCCCTGCCCCTGGGCCCATAAATCACCCTCCACGACCGGTTCACCGGCTGACCGGTTTCAATCTCGACTGAGACTCCATCCCAGCTCGACCCCATTGCATCCGCGGGTTCAGCTGCCAGTTGTAGCCCCAGGAGACGCCTGCAATGTTTGAAACACGTGGCCAAAATGTTGGCTCTAAGCCTTCTGTTGCGCATCAAAGAATTCTCTAAGAATATTCTAACATCTATGAAGTCTATAGGGCGCATCAGAGTTACATCCGTAAAATGAGCGTTCAGACCTACAAAACCGGACTTCCACCAGTGAAAGACAGCTGCCCCACAACGGTGGTCAACGATGGCCATCCACACTGTGTCGCTGTGGCCTTGCTTCAAGGCATGGAGCTGATGTTCTTGAAGGTTGGCCTACCGGGAACGTAGTAAACATCGCGACCTTGCTCCTAGTAGCGATGCCCTTTGCTAATAGTAGCTTCTTGCTCGTGGTAAGGCCAGGAGCTAGTAGCGTCCTTGTTACGACAGCAAAAAAGGTGCTGAAAAACGACATCTGCAAATTTGCAGTGTGGCTCCTTGGCAATGCCACGCTTGCTGCTTGCAACTGCTGTGGTGGCACCAGCCGCGCAAAGGGCCAAAAAGAGGCGTTGTCCCATCATTTTGGCGTCTCACCTTATCACCGCGGATATCCCAATCAATCACTTTGAGCCAACTGAGGCAGGAATTCAAATCATCTAAAGGTTTCTAGTAGCTTCTTGTTACTAGTTGCGATGGCCTCCGACCTAGTAGCTTCTTGCTACTAGTAGTTTTACTTCAAATCATCCTCGTCCACCACGCAATCAACGACCCGCCCCATCATTCTCCCAATCCAGGGCCTAGCAGCTTAGCAGGCATAGCAAGCGTCCTCCCCACTCCACCAGTACACCGAACCTTTGAGCAAATGAATAAACGACATGCCTCGAGTAAGGACTTCTTGGCGTTCTCAACTTGCAGCTCCGCCTCTTGCAGCTGCTCCTGACATCAATGACCTCCAACCTAAGAGCAATGGCCTCCACGGCTCTAACATCCCGAATATCGAAGGATCGCAGGCCATTGAAATTTGACCTTGTTTAATCAAACCTATCCAATGACGGCTCTCCACGAAACTAGAACCTCAACGTCTAGCTCAGCAGTGAGCTGCATCCCTGATAACCTCCCAAAGTGCTCAACACTTTGAACTGCGAATCCCTTCAATTCTACTGGCATAGTCCAAGCTCTAAAGCTATTCAACACTCTGTGACTCTATGATATGTAGTATGTGCAATATGGGTATTCTAAGCCACCCAATATGCTTCCATGCCCCCTATATGTCCATGTGATCCATCCCGATTGATCCGAGACAATGCGCCTCTGCACGGGTCCGCTCTTCTCCCGCTTCTTGAAGGGTCGCCTACTTCCCAAGCACAGATTCACCACAGGTTTCAGAGTTGGAGTCCATGTCTGTTCACAAACAATTCTAGGTCTGTATTGTGTGTGTGCTTCGCACCTGCTTTGCATCCTTTTCGCTTTGCAAGCGTGCTTTCTCCTGGCGGGGAGGCCATCGCTACTAAGAGGGTGGAGGCGCTTTCAGGTTGGAGGCTATCGCTCTTAGGTGCATCAAATCCCATGAGCTCAAGGGTGCTTTGGCATGAACGACTGGGTGGCGCCTGCGTCTTCTCGTCTTTGCGGCTCTGCAACTCCTGCAGCCGCTCTGTGGCCTTCTGCAAAGCCTCTTGAACCGCCTGCAAGTCTGCCTGGACCAAGACTCCAAATGGGAAAGCAGGTTTAAATTGAACTTGCTCACCTCAAACAGGCTCACACTACCCAGAAGAACAGGCTGACAAGCTTCAGAATCAAAATGGAGGATTGTCTACTCATGCTTTATATTGTTGTCTTTTTTGAGCGTATATTCGTTATTTTTCGGAGCCAACGACGTGTTCGTTGGAAGTCCTCTGCTTCCCGAAACCTGAGGAGATCCCTGACCTTTTCGTTTGGGTATGCGGACTCAAGCGTTCCATACCTCAGAACAGATGTTTTTAGTAGCGTTCTTGCTCCTACCTAGTACGGCCAGGAGCCCCTAGTAGCGTTCTTGCTACTCCTCTCCAAGATTTTCGCTTCCCACCTCACGCTTGGAGACGAGGTCCTGGGAATGAAACCGACCCAACGGCGACGCAAAGCGCTTCTCGCAACTCAAAAACCACACACTCTGAACGGTTGAATTGGGAACACGCAAAGGACATCCACTTCTTCGAAAGATGTTGCCTTAGAGCAGCTTTGGGCTTTTGGGTTCCTCTTTTTTTGCGGTTCACATAAATCTTTTGATGTCCAAAGCGTTTCCTTTGAAACAGGCCAATGTAGAAGAACGCTGAGGAGAGAGCCACGAGGAAAAAAAACACAACATACCATCTCAACGTAGAAGAGTTCACAGGAAAACTCCTTGACGATTACCCTGAATCCCCAAAGTCCTTTTTAAACTTAGATTCTCCTCCTCATGGAATCTTGGGAAGCACTGGACAGAAGGTCAAGAAAATCCAAGAAGATCTGGACCCTGGGTGTGGATTAAATGAGCATGAACAAGAACGCTACTAGGGGCTCCTGGCATCGCTACTAGGAACAAGGACGCTACTAGGGGCTCCTGGCCTTACTACTAGGAACAAGAACCCTACTAGGAGCATGAACCATTTTTCACGTCTCTTCAGTGTCCTGGGCGTGGAGCTCTGCCTGCTGCGCTTCTTCGATGGCAGTCTCAGCGGCCGCCAAGAAGCTGTCGCACTCGAAAGAGGCCAAGAAGGCCTCGGTGGAAGATGTAGCGTCCCTCCGTTCGTAACGATGCCAGCACCGAACGTAGCGTATAGAATGGTCTTTCCTCCAAAGGCCTTAGGTCAGCCTAATTAAATCCTAATTCTAATTCTAGTTCTTGTTCCTAGTAGCGTCCTTGTTCGTAGTAGTATGGCCAGGAGCCCCTAGTAGCGTCCTTGCTCCGTTCGTAGCCATGCCCTTTGCTCCTAGTAGTGCCCTCAAATGTTCCCCCTCCCGCCTCCTTCTCCTTCTTCCGACATTCCACCGCTAGTTGCTGCGCCTCCTGCGCAGCAGCCTGTGCTTTGAGAAGGCAAGCGTGTTAAGCGAAGATCAGGTTTCCCTGTGGGGGGCCAGCTGCATGGGTTTTCGGTGCCTGTGCTGGACCATTATTTTTCGATCCAGGCACAGGTTTCGACACTTTCTCTATAGAACAGTCAAGAAAATCTTCCAGCCGATCTCAAGAGTCTGAAGGTCTATCCATTCCAAGGTGGTTAAACAAAAACACGTGGAGTGAGCAGTGAGGCGTGTGTTTTCCTTCTTTCATGGCTTTCAATCTTGCTCTTTCCTGCTGTACCAAGCGGCCTGGAGCTCTGCCAATTGGACCCTTGCCGCTTCCTCCGCTCGCGAAGAGTTTTGCACCTCCTGCAGTCCGATGGAGAAGTCAGTGATGCTCCGGGCTCCATGTTTCAGATTTGAATGCAAATTGCTGATTTCTGGCTATGCCACGAAGCAATGGCGCCATTGCGCTTGTGGAATCTCGAGTCCCTGAGGGTCCTGTGAGGCGTCCAAGAAACTCCTCGAGGCGTCGGTGTGGCTGAACTCCATGTCCTCACCATTTCGCCAAAGAAGAAAGAGAGAGAGAGAGAGAGCGGCAAAAACGAAACGAAAATGAAAAGAACATCGCTCTCTCTCTCTCTCTCTCTCTGTTTCTAGCAGTGAGATCTACTTGACATTGGCAACTGTAAGTCCGGTGTTACATCGCTGCATCGCGGTGTGTCGCATCCTTCCGCTTGGCCACAGCGGTTTCCAGCGCATCCCGCCAAAGCTCCAACCGAGCATTGGCCACCTGCAGAGTTGGTTCGCTACGAACGGAGCAGCGGACGCTACTAGGCTCCTGGCCTTGCTACTAGGAGCAAGAAGCTACTAGGAACAAAGGGCATCGCTACTAGTAGCAAGAAGCTTTCTAGTATGTCTTTGAAGCTTCTTAGTAACAAGACTTGAAGTCTTGAGCAAACATGTGGACCCAGTGGTCAATGGACCTGGTAGCTAAGTGGCCGAACAGTCAACTTGATTGCAAGTTTGTTCGGTCACTTTCTCTATTTGTCCACTTCATCAAGTGAATCAAGTGTCAAGTAGACGCCAAACAACCCCAGCGTGCAAGGTTGGAGGCCATCGCTACTAGAATAATAGAGGGCATTGATTCCTGCATACTGGATCTCTCCTCCGGGGCGATTGGGACGAGTTTCGAAAGGGATTCTCTCTCTCTCTCTTATCTTTGGTTTGATGTTTGAGGCATCGCTTGGTATACCGAAGTAGGTTTCACCGATGAAGCGTAATTTCGATTGCCACCAGAAACATTGTGGGATCAGCTGTTGGTATACATCTGAAAAGCAAAGAATGGGAACGTCACTGGCGTGCATTCTTGATATGCTTAAGAATAGGTCTCTGTGATACTGATTAGTTCACGAGCGTCCAGCACTTCTGGTCTGATACTGCACGATTGTGGAGCACTCAAAGAATCAAACACCTGTGGATTGACCTCTTAGCGTCCACCTCGTAGTGATCAAAGCCCCTTCTTATTTTGCTTCAAGCGATGCACTTGTTTCTACTAGCTTCTTGTTACTACTAGTAAGGCACCTGTTACTACTAGCGTGGCACTTGTTACTACTAGCTTCTTGTTCTTCTTATTTTGCTTCCTAAACCTCACCGGATGGTCTCACCAAGTCTCACCGAGTCTCACCCTGATCCGGCCTCCTTCATGCCTCTGCAGTCATCCACGGCACGCTGAGCACGCCACACCTGCAGATAGCTGGATCAATCCCAAAGGATGCCCCAGGCATCTTTCAAAGAAAGAAACGCTTAAAAGAAAAACAAAGAAAACAAATAGAACATAATTGGACCCAAGGCCTGTAGATCCCTTCAGTCACCGACTCTACAGCAACCGAGCAAACCCCAGTGCCCAATGAGAAGACTCCAACGATGTCAACGAATCAAAACACTAGTGCAACTTTGCGCAAATAGAATCGAATCAAATCCTTTCTACCAAGCTACTAACCACTATAGACTACAACCCAAATCCATGGCCTCCAACCTAGTAACTTCTAGGGGCTCCTGGCATCGCTACTAGGAGCAAGGACGCTACTAGGGGCTCCTTCCTGGCCTTACTACTAGGAACAAGAACGCTACTAGGAACAAAGGGCATCGCTACTAGGAGCAATGTTCGCTACTACGTCTCAAGTCTTTGACCCGAATCCCACCTTGGCGATGTTCACCATCTCCGCTTGTGCCAGAGCTTTCGCGCGCTGATTACTGGCAACGAAACAACCGTCCTTCTCCCCCAGCAAAAAGGGTAACGGACGTGTCCAAACCCTTGAAGAAACATTTTGCAAAAAAGAAACACCTTCTCATGTTTTCCCCACGTTTCTTTGAAGAAACAACTGCCCAACTGACAGCAATGTCACAACGATTCGCGGTGGGCCTTGCGTCTTGTTCTATTTTGTCTACTATGTTTATGTTTTCTTTAGACCTTTCTTCTTCTTTTTGTGTCTTTCTTGAGACCTTGCTTTTACCGTTCTCCCTCTCTTTCTTCGGCCCTGCCACTGGGCGACGTGCCTGGCGTCGAAATTTTCGGCCAACTCGGAGAGTTCCTGAGTGCAGCTCGGTGAGACCCGAATCAAAAGCATCGTTTCCGGAGAATCGCCGGTTTTTCTCAAACTCTTCAAAAAAGCATCGTGCCCAAAACACTTGCAAATCGGTTTAGAAAAAGAGCTGAGGCTGTCTAACACTTTCTGTAACCATGCAAGAAATAGCTTTCTTGTCATACCAACCAGTAGTTTTTTCCGGTGGTCCCATCGGCCACAGTTTCATGTCATTAACATTCGTCCAACTTTGCATAACATGCCTATATTCAAAAAGGAGCTTCTGGAGCCAAAAAGACTCGAACACAAGATTCAAAAGCCAATGGAACGGAAAGGCCAAGACTGCTTGTCTTTTGATACCTTTCTGCCATATGCCTCACATGCTTTCCTTTAAGCATGTCCCACTTCAATATGCTCTAATTCACTTTGTCATGTCTGCATAGGTCCGCCAAACCACCATTCGGCCCCTTCCCCGCCACCTGTGCTAGAGGCCAATTCTGCAAGTAAAAACACGAGCATCGTAGTAAGGAGAAAAAAAGCAAGTATCTTTAATATTGGACTGTGCCTTACTAGAGAGAGGTTTGCTTATCATGTGTTCGATCGAAAAAATGAGTCCTGTTTCTTGTGAAGTTCTTTTTTAAAAATGAGTGATTTACGCATTAATTGCTTAGGGACTTTGGGTTCACTTGTGTTCATTAGCATCGGCTTGTGTTCATTTAGGGACTTCTCGTCAACCTCAAGACTCAAGTACCAGTACTAAGTAAAGTACTATGCACGGGACAAAGTAAGGGAAAGTTCAACCGTCCGAAGAGTAGGAATATTTCACTTGGAGGGCGTCGCTAGTAGGTTGCTTTTGCTATTAGGACCAAGGGGCATCGCTACTAGGAGCAAGGACGCTACTAGGGACTCCTTACTACTAGGAGCAAGAAGCTACTAGTAACAAGGGCAACGCT